TATGTAGTAGGAAGTGGCTAACAAAATAGGGCAAAGAAGGAGATTATTACCTTACTGCTTCCTGTATCTGCACTAAAAGGGTCTTTCCCACTGAAGGGATCATCTCCAAATGGGTCAGTGGAAAAGCCAGAGTCAGCAACACTAGACTGGAACACATCTGAGTGGAACAAACAACAAGGCAGAATCAGTAAGGATGGACCAACAGGGATATGGTCTGTGTGAAAATAGTGGCTGAGAAACTTTGTTTATTTTCTCTAAGGCCTGTCAGTATTAGTTCTTCATGAAATCTTGTTTGGAGCACTCGTGTAATTTGAATACATGTTGTCAATAGCAGAAGCAATCCAGAAGTTGAACATACCTGTTTTAAATGGATCTTCTGCCTTAAAAGGATCATTGTAATCTGAAAGTATCAGAAGAAGTTTATAGTTACCAAGACAAACAACAAGCAGAAAATAAATGTTTTTATGTCCTACCTGGGCCGCGATTGCGTTCGATACGGGTGTTCCGGCCCGTGTGATAACTAGCGGTACGGCCCGGGGGTTCTTTACGCGTACGGCCCGGGCCTTCCAAATGTTCCATAGAACGATTCGAACGCGTTTCGGCCTAACCGCTTGCACCGCTTCCGAAAATTCGATCACAAAATTCGGACATTGGAATTGATGTTGGTGCATTTGTTTTGGGTTTAGGGACACCAAATGTCCGCCCATTTCGCGTTAAAAGGCGTGTTTTCTTGGGTGGGTATGACATAAATAAAATACAACACGGTGTATTCCGCATCACCCTCGGTCCCAGCCCTCCCGCGGATCGGATCTCCCTCCGGCCTTCGGCCGTCGGGCGATCCGACCCGCGGTCGGGCTGGTACCTCGAGCGATACGGAACACACCGTGTTGTATTCTATATGTACATTCATACCATAATGTATGAAACTGTACCTGTAGTAACACTGACCTGCAACAAAAACAAGTATCAAGGCAAAATACTAATTATAGATGGGTCAGAACTTTACTCAGAAAGGACTTCTGAGTGGGTTCTGTTTGAAAACATTGGTTATCTGACAAAGAAACTGTGCTTATTTTCTGAATAATGAGAGATTTACTTATATACAAACTGTATCAAGATGAATATAAAACATCTTGCTTATTACGTAAAGCCATACCATTATACATGTATGAAGCCATATTCATACCGGTAGTACAGGACTGGTACAGGTACTTTAATATCAATAACTGGTTTATCAAAAATTTTTAGTTTCATTCAGATGAAAAACCAGTCTGAGACTGAACATACCATTTCCAGTTGATGCAAATGGGTCCTTGCTACCAAAAGGATCACTCTGAAAAAAAGAATGAACATTTCAATTTATGGAATAGAAAAAAAAAACGATATAAAAAGGTAATAGAATACCTAGCAGATTATGCAGTTTTAGATTCAGAGTAAGTGTTTGTTTGTTTGTTTGACATGATGATGAGGCTGTTGTGGCTGCCGTAGTCAGACCAATGTTTGTAATCACTATGTTTTCATGTATGTTTGTTTATATGTATTCAGGCCTCGAAATTAACTTTTTTTACAATTGTCCCAGAACTGTCCCAAAAATAGATTTCAATTGTCCCGAACTGAGGATGGACTGTCCCAGCCTGCTTTTCAGGAAATAAGTTTATGACAACAATAAGAAAACAACAACTCAATCTGTACAGCTTGAAGTCCACTTTTTAGTACAGTAAAATGTCCATCATTTTCCCAGACTGCAGGGAAATACATGATAGTATCATGGGCGCGGAACCATCTTCGAGGCCCCTCCCCAACATCTAGAATCCCTGATTGGTCAAATTTAAATGTTTGTCAGAGTATTATGGGCTGCCGTCGGCTTGCAGCAGAATGGATGGATCATGTTCCTAAATGACGTGGACAGTCTCAGAATTTTCCAATTTCCCCCGAAATTGTCCCGAAACGTAATTTGAATTGTCCCGAGCTGAAAATTTAGTGTCATTTGACACTGGGACAATGTTAATTTCGAGCCCTGTGTATGTATGTAGAGTTGAGAGTATTGACTCACAGTTCCAGTGTCCCATGTTGATGAGGCAGTTGTAGTTGCCATGGTCAGACCGATGTCCCCGACTCCCCCAGGTCCAACCTGTGTGCTCAGGTTCCTCTGGGTGTCCTGTAGTTTGGACAGCTGGTCTCGTACCTGGAACATGGCAGTGCAATATTTTATAATGATAGTCAATCTTACATGTACATATGTTAGCCTGTTCTGTTGGTATTAAAAAGTCGTTCTTCTGTGCTGGTCATTTCAGACAAGAACATTTCTTTCTTTCTTCCTTTAGTCTTTTTGTTTTTGTTTCTTTGTCAACTTCCTTGTGCAAATTATTTTACAAGTTTACAACTTAACAAGTACTAATAAATGCAAGCCTTCTATTAATTGTTAGAAATCCCACCATTCGTCCAAATCCATTCTTTTATCATTCTCTTTCATAACCCATGGGTCACAAATGTTTTCACTTTAAATTTGTACTTGAATATGATCTTGAATTTAATTTGTAAAGGAACTGTACCATCCCATTTTGCAATTTAAGTCATATTCTTTTTACACTGACTGACAGAGAGAGAGGTCACAGACGGTTGGGCCTAGGAAAAAAGCTGTGTTTCCTGTTTCCCGACCGATCCTAAAAAAAACCTGCTGACCCTAGGCTTTTTTTGTTGGACCTCTGCATTTTTTGAGCTGATCAACCTTTTCTAACTCCACGATCTGACATGTGTGTGATGAAATGCTGTACAATCAGTTTTCCAACATTGACATTGAAAAGAAGTGTCCTCTTGCAAGTTTTACTTTGTTAAACTGTATTGTATGAGTTAAATCACTAGAGATTGCCAAAGTGTAATAAAAAGGAAAGAAAAAAATCCCTACCTACCAACCCTAAATTTCTCAGGACTGAAACAGGAAACACAACATTATTTTTCTCAGGCCTTGCCAACTGGTCCCTATGTACCTGTGCTATCTCCGTGTGTGCAGCTCTGATGGCAGTAATGGTGGCCTCCAGCCGAATCTTCCCAGTCTCCAGTTTCTGCTCCAGGTTTGCCTCTTCTGATCGCAGGTTGTTCAACTCCACACGTGCCTGCAACAGTCAAACACAATATGGTATACGGTACCTCTGGTTCTGCTTGTGGTCAGACACCTCTCAATCTATATCACATTAGCACGTCGGCAGAACATACTACACGTGCACGAAACCCGTAATGTATTGTGCATAGCACTTTGACAGAATGTCTCATATGAGGTTCTTTTTGCGTATATAAGGTTAACATTCAGACTGTAGTTTCCAACTGTTGTGTCAGAAGAGTTGTCATTTGCAACAGACAAAATTGTCATGCAACATTGACCAAACATTCAACAAAAACTGTGCAAAATCAGGGTTTCGCAAAGGCGCTGTACGTTCTGCCGATGTGCTTATCACATCATAAATTGCACCATCTGTATACATGACATAGAGCTGGTAATATTGACATCAGTAAATGTAGACTGAGAGCTACATTACACCACAAATTGTACTCTACAAGATAAAGAAGACCTAATGTAGTAATAGCCACTGACCTTATTGAGTTGCTGTTCCTGGTTCTGTACAGACGTCTCCTGTGAGGTAAGCTGTGATCTCAGCCTGCTGACCAGCTGGGTCTCCTCCTGACACTGTCTCTTCACCTCCTCCAGCAGCCGCTCAACTTCCGCCTCCTGAGGACAAATAGACGTTCAGACAACACCACAAATGTTGTTCCATCCATACTACTCTTCCTGGAGTCCGTAGTCAATAAGCAGATAAGAATTTAGACCATCGCACACCGGGGCATGCCCCTACTCTTTTTCGAAAGGTGTGGTGGGTTCTTTAATGTGTATGGAGTATGGCTCTTCCCAACACAGGACCTCCATTTAATGTCCTCTCCGAGGAACGTCCTTAACCAAAGCTAGGTAGGTACTCATTTTCACCTGTCGTGAGTGAAGTGAGGAAGTGTACAGTGCCTTTCCCAGGGGCATGGTAGGATTCAAACCCGGAACCTCTTGGTTCAAGGCAGAACATGCTACCATTATCCCACACGACCCCACTGATGTTTTTAAACACACTGTAAAGTTGTGGCTCTGACCTGCTTGTCCAGTTTCTGCACAGGCAGGAGTGTGTCGGCCTTTTGTTTCTCCAGCTGCTGAAGGGTGGTCTGACTCTGGTTCACCTCAACTTCCAGGTTCTACACACAGCAACAACAGCAATGTTACTGATAAATCTCCATGCACTACCCGGTATATGTAAAAGTCTTTAAGTATCCATATGAGATCACTTGCAAGTGAAAAGAGAAACACTCCAGAAGTTCCAAGAAGGCATCTTTTACACGACCATAACCCAGGTCTGGTAATATTTCACACCTTATACCTTAATACAGTACTACAATGATGCAAGCATGATATACTAGTACTTGTATACTGTAATTCACTTAATGTTCACGGTAGCAAATAGAGGTGTTCACGAAACTATACACATGTACATGTATATGCATGGGGGCTCAGGTGCAGAAGGAAACAAGTCAGTGAATTATTTGTTAATGGTAAGTTTGCAGCACAGAAGTTACCGCGAAAACCTAAAATTTAAAAGTATGACAAAAAAATCAGGAATCATAGTAACATCTAGTATACAGTTATGTGCACATTATACTGACCATAAGAAGACTGTTGATATCCAAGATCTGCTGCTGCTTGTCTGTGATCTCTGACTGAAGACTGTCCTGTTCTCTGGAAAAACACACACACACAAAATAACATTTTCTCCTGTAAGTAAAATCTATTCAACAGTCCAGAAGCAAATTTGCACTTTAAGGATTACAGGTATCTATTGAAATAATGTTTTTAGACAATGTGGAAACATGATACAATCTCTAGATCCCTTTTGTTTTAGCAGTAACAGTCTTTCTTCTGCTGTTCTGTTTTCTTGACATGGAACAACAAACTGTAAAATTTGAAACTTTACAGTAGTTCTATTTTGCAGTGCCTAATGCCACCATAAAAAACATGTTTAGTTGCAATATTGTTTCAACTGTGGACTTGTTTACAAGGGACAAGTTGATTTACTAGAATTGTTCTGGACAACTCAAATTGACAACAACAAATCTCTGTCCCCTATTGGCCAACCAGCCCAGACTGGCCCAGACCGGCCTATGTACCTGGTGAGGTCCTGGATCTCCCGACCAATCACGTCCATCTCCTTCGCGATGGTGGTGACGTCGGAGCCGGCAGACTTGGCCTGGCGGGAGGACGGGGGGATCATCTCCGGGGACAGCTGCTGAGGGGGGTCAATACCCTTCACCTGGGGGGAACACCAGGACAGGGGTCAAGTTTTGGATAAACTGGACAGGGCTTACTAGGCCTGTACTCAAGTCTTGTTAGCTTTGATGTATAAATTATGATTCTAAGGGCAGCTGACAACTGTTGGAAGTGGACTAAGGCTAACAGATATGGACTTCAGTCTAAGGCTTAAAGCTATTTATTTTTTTAAGCTTTATTTTTTGAAGCTTTATGACCTGGTAAGACATCAAAGCTCCTCCACTTTTCATCTAAACTACAACTTTATAACTATTGAAATCCTATCTCGTCACTCCACATAAAGTTACCCTGACCATTCTCTAACAGGTTTGAAAATGCAGCAACATGGCAGAGCAGTAAACATAAGAATTTCTCCTTAAAAAGTGTAAACACAAACAAAAAATTAATATACAAGAGCATTGTGTAATGAATTCAAAGCTGTAAGAGATGAATGGATAAGCATAAAAGCTGGTTATGTCCTCACCTGTTGCTGAATGAGCCACATGGCCAAAGCAAACTGCTCAGCATTGAGCAGCCCAGCCTGCTTCTCATCACACAATGTCCTGTGGGAAAAACAAGGCACATTTAATTTTGGTAGATGATGCAATAAAATAATGTCCTGATGATAGTCTAGTATAATGAATCCTCTCAACAGTAAGAAATAGGATAAGACGCCCGGCCCAGAAATACATGTGTACACTTATAATAGCCCTGTTCATCTTGGTCAAATGCATAGATACGTAAAAGAACTACTTAAAAGTACAAATGCACACTTTGATGGACATGCAGCCACTATATCTATGGTCAAAATGCTAATTGCATTTTTACGTTTTTATTTTGCATTTCTACATTTTGACACAGGACGGCAGGATTATAGGGTTGATGAACTGTAATGATCATCTATTATCACAGAGCTAATGCCCAGTACTGACCAGATGTGAGCTAGCACATTCTGTGGAACCCCAGACTGCATGAAGACGTCCTTGACCTCCCCGCCGCCGACAAACCCGTCCTTGTCTGTGTCCGCCTGACGGAAAATGTTGTCATACTTCATCTTGTCACCAGGGGTCACCACCCACGAGGTTTGCTGGAACGTGAAAGAAACATTATTTGCCAACTAGAAAGGTGACATTTGAAGAGCAAATGCATAATGTTTACCTGCTCTGTTAATTTTTACTCAAACACATTCATATATATGGTGACGGGAGTCTAAATCCCTCCTGCTATAAAATTGCAACATGATGTCACTTACCTGTGTGTGTACAGCATGTGCAGGAGAAGGCCCAGGTGCCAGTCCAGGACTGGGTCCTCTCTTGGAGGGTGGGATGAGTTCAGGAGGCAGAGTGGTGGGGACCGGCTGTTTGTCCAGCGCACGGTATACCAGATGCATTGCCTGGAATAAAACATCGGTCATGATTACGAAAAAAGTATATCATGAATGCTTCACAAACAGAGTATTTGCATTATCAGCTCTTCACTGAAAAAGCAACTTACAATATTGCCCAAACTGCTAGATGAGATAACAAGAGACAACCTCATGTTGAAGCATCTGTACATACCACAGCAAATTCCTCCTTATCCAGACAGCCATCCTTGTCTATATCACTCAAGTCCCAAACCTGTCAATGAAATACAATGTCTTTAATTTTTTTCTGTTGCTGTTGATTGATGTACATTTCATTAATACATGATGTATAACAATTTTTCATAATGTTTGCAAATACTGCAAATTGTACTTACTGTTCCAAGAATTTCCACAGGAAGTTTTGAATTCAAGAGAACCTGAAGAAAATGTAAATAAATAATATGGAATGATACATGTACAGGCTCATTTTGTAACTCTTTGAAAATGATAGTATCATCCTTCAGTCAGTTGCACAACTATCATGTTTGAGCTAGTACACAGTTTTACTCCTACATGAAAGAAAACACAACAGGCTCATCAGCCTTACCGGCCTGACTTTGTCTCCTGTCAGTAAACCATTGACAGGGTCCAGCGTGTCAAAAATGGTGTCAAACTTCAGCTTCTCCTCTGTCTGTAAATGGTAAAAAAAGTTTGTTTTTAGACATAGAAACAGAAACAGATATAGACTCTGAGGTAACTTAAACAGCAATGGTGTTGGATTTTACAGAGAATATCCCTATGCGTCAAGTATACAGACTGTATGGCTCCTTACCTTGATGGCCCAAGCTGCTCTGGAGCTGCCAGAAACATTCTCTGCCTGAAAGAAAAACCACAATTGTTACCTACCATGTTTCTTTACATTTTGTACATTTTATGTTAACGTTCACAAAAGGAAGACATATTGTTTTCATCTCAGTTTCTTCTTCTTCCACTCCAAACATATAAAGTAGATGACCTGGAGCAGATGTCTGTCACCATAGTAACTTGTGCTGTAGTAGACACCCTGTGGTGTTGGGTTACATTATGTAGCAGGACAGAGTTGGAGAGCCTGTTCACCACACATATGACTGTATTTGACTTAATAAAATAAACAGTGCTGTAGTTCTTTGGGCTAGAGCAGGTGAAGGTCAACATTATGCACTTGCTTTGAAAATGTTACACATTTAGTCTTAGAGTACATTTCTACTGGTATTATGTATTTGTTCAGTCTGTTAGATGGGTTGACATGACAGACTCTGGGAGTTAATGTGATTGATCAATCAGATAATTGATAAGAAAACATGCTGAATATTGCCCCTCACCATGGTAGGAGGTGGAATGGAGGAGGACAGGTTCTCCACACTGACATCCTGACCGTGCTGAGCCAGGGACACCAGCTGGAGCGCTACAATAAAACCCTGAAATAGAAACATTGCAATGCTTAGTATTCATTTCAGGTACCGTCATCAACATCGATACCTTAAAGACCTTATGACATCCAAAAAAGTCTGTAAAATACATAGAAATAGCAAAAGTATACATGCAATGTAGTCACTTGAAGTTGGTTTTAATCATGATGACTGAGAAATTGAGTTTGTACGGCCTTCTAAAAGTTCATTTTTGGAGACGCTTCGGCAAGCTTCAAAATTGCCCGTATCTCTACATTTTTAATGCAAAAATTAAACCTAGAGATGCAACTAGTCTGCCGGGCTTGGCTTGTGCTAACTTGTACATTGTAACAGGTTTATCGTGTATATATATTGTAAACGTGTCTGTTAGCCATGTAATACCAGTTATGTCAACTACAATCAGATTAGGTCGTAATTTGGTGTCATGAGCACTTTAAGGTAAGGCCTAGCTGCTCATAGCAAACTCCAAAACAGGAAGAACAACTTTTGATGTAACCATTGTTTTCCTGACAACTTCTTTCAAAATTTAGCATCTATCTATCAACATGGAAAAGAAAATTTAATGCTTTTCTCCACAATACATCTAGGAATAAAACATGTCTCCATGACTTACTTTTTTGTCCAGGTAGCCAGCCCCTTCCTGGTCTGCAAGGTTCCAGATCTGGTGATAATGAAACAAATGTCAACTTCCTAAATACATGTAGTAAATGTGATGTTACTGCAGTAGAAGACTAGTAAGTGTGAAACAGACACAAATTCTTTTTTTTTTTGCAATGCTGCACTTGACATGTAATTATAAGCAGTGACATGAGGACCAGGTCCTGTACCTTATGAAGAACACTCTCCCTCAGACCAGACCTCTTCAGGAAGGCAGCAGCTTCACCTGCATCAACCTTACCATGGCCCCAGGGGTCCAACTGAAAACACACATTTATAAACATGAGACAGGTGGGATTATGGCATTGTTTAGAAACTCTTTTGGTTGGTAATTTAGAAATCAGTGGTATATCACAATGAGAGTACACAGTCTCCTATCTATAGGTACTAAAAAATACATCAAACTAAAATCCTGTTTTGTTATTGGAAAAAATGCAGAAACTCATGATTAGCCCTACTTGATTGTGCATATTTATAATAGCACTTAATGTTTAGTAACTAGGATGTTAATATTTCATCTTATACCCTTTTCTTTTTGTATTTCTATGTTCAATAATTGTTGTCATACATTGTACCATGTACAATTGTCGTGCAATAAAGTTCTTCCTATCTACAGCAAAATGTTTTATGGGAACTTTGACCATTACTGAATGAAGCTAACCCCCTCATTTCAAAATGTGTACTCTTTGTGTTGGAATAAATTAAAGCATCAAAAAAGATGCCCGGGATGATTCCAATCCTCACCTGTCTGTAAAACCCCTCAAAAGCAGCCAGAGACTCTCCCGAAGCCATCTGTACAGACAAGATAAAAGCTAATAACCGTTATACTTTAGTACACTGTACTCTCTTCGTAACTTTGATTCAATTAGTATCAGAATTTAGTCTTCAAAATAACAAATGATCATTCTCAACCATTTTCAATTCACGCTACAACGATGCTTGAATGAAATTATGTTACAATTTGCAACATATTTTATAATCATTATAACTGATCGAGAGGGGTGTATCATTATGTCACAAACCATTGTTCTGTTTTATGTTAAATTTGAAGTATTTATAATAATCTTTGTGAAAGTCAACTTCTTCAAGGTGGTGCATCTCATATCAATAAATCACAAGTCATGTTTATTTTTGCTTCATTTCTTTTCACCTAAGGTTTATATACATGTATAGGACAACATACGTGTGTAACAGTAACAGTAACAGTATAACAAACACTCTTGAGACAGTAAACTTGAGTACTGTGTGCGATTGTAGCCCCTTTTTCCCTTCCACACCTAATCATTGCAAACAGTTCCTGTACAGCTATATGGAGCCTCCTTACAATAACACAACACATCTCTAGGTATGGCCATAGCATTCGATAAATGAGATTAAACTTAAGGGTGGTAAATGTTATCCGACAGACGCTGATCAGATGATTTTGATTTGAAACATCATGATGCTGAACATATATCTGTTTTTGCTCGATTACAGCAAGACATATTCCCAAATACTTTATAAACTGATTAAAAACGGTCTACTGGAACCTAAAGTAAAGCTTTAGGTATCTAGTGTGGGCGGTACGAAAGAAAATAATGATTTTTGAAGCTTACTTACCTTCCTTTCCGCCACAAAGGGGTGTACCCTTCACCTAGAGGTGACCTCGATTAACCTATTACCTCACTTCCGCTATTTCAGAATAGTCCACAACTTAGAAGGTGTCACTCCAAACATAAATATAACCTTTTCTTTTTGGCACTTTTTTTGGAAATATATCTGATATAAATTGTGAAATTAATTTATATGTGAATAGTGATATACAGCTGTTGTATGATATCTTGATTTATTTTTCTGATCCAAAATATCTAGTATGGTACCCCTCTATCAAGAGTGGTAAGTTCCTACTTCACAAACCGGATGTTGTGCACTCAAAAAATGCCAACATGGCGGGGCGTTGTGGAAAATATGTGGAGCTCACGTCACTCGTACTTTAAATCCGATTTTCCCGTGACTCCGAGGCGTGATCTGAACTGGAGAAGAACAAGAAGGAACCAAGGGCAGGGGAGTTCTCGCTGAAGGGCCGTTTTTGTCGTCTGCGGACCCATGGATCGCGCCGCCCGCCGTGAACTCATTGAAACTATTGAACAACAGAAGGAGCGAATCGCAAGGCTTGAAAACAGGCTCAGAGGTAAACATTGGCGAGTTGTTGTGACAAGTACTAAGATAAACTGCCTTGACTGTTTACCGCTAGCTCTATCGCGAACTGTTATAAATTGCAGGCATTCTTGTAGGTCAGCCAAGTCACGTAGTAACATTTACTTCTGACCTGAGATGTTGACAGCAGAATTTCTTGAACTTTGACCCTACCACTATATCTGCACTTGTCAATGGAAAGCAATGGTAGACGTGCATGAGCTAGAATTTGGGGGGTTGAGTTGGGTAATATAATGGTACATGTACTTGTCATTTTTCTGTTCACAAGAAGTGGTCAACTTGAGATCTATACCTCTTTCAAATAGTAAAATTATACAGTCTAAAAGCCTCAGGCAAAAACTATGCTGTTCAACCAGATAGTACAATATGTTGTGATAACTATCTGTACTACCTGACGTCAACACATAATGATAGCATGTTGAAGAACAATTACACAGGATAACCTGGTGTGTTTGTGGCTGGTACGTGTGTGAATATAATTGGCCTTGCATGTATGGGACACATTGGCATTGTGTAACACTAACAGACGTGCAACTGACATATTCCAACATTGATGCAGATGACGTCATATGAAAAGCCTACATACTAGCTGTATAGGCTACCGGGGCCCAAAGTACTTTTATCTGTACCAGACAAATTTTACCTGCACCACTCACAATTTAGGACGACTGGATCACACTAAAAACTACTCTCATGTCCCTAATAAACATACCCCCCGGAATAAACATACCCCCCGGACAAATCTTCAAAGTCTAATAAACATACCCTCCGGAATAAACGTACCCCCCGGAAAATGACCAAATTGACAGGTGAACTGTGTGTCCATGATACTAAAATGTGTGTGCTCTTTATTTCAATACCAATATATGGGCAAATCTTTCACTGTTACATTTAATTAGTGAGTATATATCACTTTAATTAATGAGTATATATATATTGTACTTGTTTTGGGGATATACAAAATCCGTAGGAGAAGCTATTGCATTTTACACTTCTGAAATGCACTTTGCTAAGCCTTCTTCTGCAACTTGAGTTGAAAATCTGACTAACTTAAGAGATAGAAAATCAAGCCCAATTAAGTACAAATATAGGGGTTTAATGAGTATATGTACAACAAAATCCATTTCAACATAATAATTATTTGGTATGGTACATTGTCTAGTCTGGTCAAAGTCTGGATTCTGAAGAAGAAAAACTTCTGAAGAAAAAAACTTTTAAGAAAAAAATATTATTCAGCATAAAATTTTGATTGGTTTCCATCTCATTGTTTTTTTAAAAATCGATAATGTGATTGTATCAATTTTAAACGCCCTAACATTAGCTAAATCGGCGCTTTTACGGTGATTGCGCAATGTAGGTGCCCTATGACCTTTGACTTTTTACGGGTCATGCTGCTCAGGCGCTAGGCGCCCTCCCCACGTCGGCCGTCCGTCTTGTGGGCAAATTTCTACTTTTTTAGGGGTTTCGGGACCTAAAAACTGACACCAGAGGGAAAATAAACCACATACGTTTTTTTCATGATAAATATCGCTAAAATGGACCAGGCATTTTTCTGCCGCGTTGCCGATTTTGCCAAGGACTTGCGGCCGCCATGTGCTAAATACGTCGATTAGCTACTCGCCTCCCCTTCGGTTTTGTGGGCAAATTTTTTATTTTTCAGACGTTTTGGGACTTAAAAATGGACAGCAGGCGAAAAATAAATAATATACATTATATTCATGGGAAATGCCGCTATCATGGACCAAATATCTGTGACGTGTTGCCGAATAATTTTTGCGGCCGCTTGCTGATGGTGCGGTAACGTATGGACAATTTTTTCCCAAAAATTAATAAACGTACCGTCCCTAATAAGAATGTACCGGGTGGACGTTCGGGCCGAAAAAAATAAACGTACCGGTACGTTTAATCGGGACATCAGAGTATTCAGAAAGCATTCATTTCAATTTGTCATTATTTCTTTTATACTTTCAACTTACTGATGGTAACAGTCAATTCAGCAAATGAAAATCAACATATACCCACATTTGTATATACACCCAGTACATTGACTGGTGCAGTCAGACAATAGAAATACCTGCACAGTTCCAATTTTACCTACCTGCACTGTGGAAGTGATATTTTAAGCCCCAGCTACTAAATTACAATCTTGCCTTAATTTGTTTCCCACAGATGTTGTTACTGCATACAAGGGTCTTGCAAAAGAAAAAGAGGCTCTAGAGGCCAGCATCAAGGTTCTGACTGTACAGAGGACACAGCATGTGGAGAGGACAGCAGCTGGTACTGATGACTCTTCTGAGACAGCATCAGAGGCGAGTGGGGATGCCACAAACACAGGAGATGGTGGGGCGGAGTCGTTTGTCGATCCCCTTAATGCCACTGGACAGGTAAGTCAGCTGTGAATATCTTGGAAAAGGTTATAGGGCCAGGTTTTGTTTTATCTTGAAAATGGACAATGTCTTAATTTCTGGTGCATATATAGGTGCAAGAAGGACCTTTTTTTTATAAAAATAGTACATTTTATGAAACTTAAATCAATTGCTAGAAAGATTCTTTTGAATAAGAATATGAATGCAGGCCTCGAAATTAGATTTTTTTCCCTATTGTCCCAGTACTGTCCCGAAAATAAATTTCACTTGTCCCGAAGTGAGGATGAACTTTGCCAACCTGTTTTTCAAGAAGTGAACTTGAAGTCAGCTTTATTTTGCTTATGTTCTGACTTCCAGGCGTGCTATGATTGCACAGTAAACGGCAAATTTTGGGGAGCTTTTTCCGGATCCAAACAAAAGATTCTGATGTTGATTATTTTTCTATTGTCCCAAACATGTCCCAAATTGTCTTTTTAGTTGTCGCAGCTAAAATTCTAGTGGTCAGTGGCCATCGGAGCACCGTTAGTTTCGAGCCCTGCCCATGTCATGGCAGTTTGGCGGGAGACTTATATAACACATTTATGTCCTTTAGGCTGAATCTACGTCTGCAAACCAGGATGAGATTCTTCACCTTAAAGAACAGCTGGGTACACTGACCAACGCCCTGGCAACCGTTACCGACCAGAAATCTCAGATGGAGGCCAGCTTCCAGGCCGACAAGAAACTCATCAGGGTAAGGGTTAAAATAATTCCTTAAGCTTTACACAGCTTAGGAATTAACCAGTATTTAAAAGGGACTTTCATTAAAGTATGTTTTTCTCGTCAGGTAACTAGGGATTTGACATATTGGGCAGTCACTGAATACATTTTAAAAACAAAGCAAACATTTAAAAAAAGAAAGCAAACATTCTGTAACTGGTTATGCTCTTTAATTTTAGCCTGCTGTGATTCACAGTGAATAATTTTACTTCACGGAGGGTAAAATTAACTAGATATTTGGCTTTAATTAGAAAGCAAGTAAATCAATCAATTTGTATACTTTACATGTATGCATATGTCTCTATCCTGTACAGCAAGAGAATGAGAACAGCAAGAAGCTGGCAGAGGAGACACAGCAGAGGCTGGAGGAACAGCTGGCAGAGGCAGAGGAACAGCTCAGTCAGGTAAGGAAGTCTATTAAACGTTGTAATGATTCAGACTGTAGATACTGGCACTCTGGGGATCAAAACCAGATCTTTTTTGTTCCGTCACCTGTATCATATATTGCCATTGTTGTTACTCACACTCAATCACTTTCCGCCTTAACGTCAGTTGTTACCTGTCTCCTGAGGGTTTGACGTGCTTGCACACTGGTGCTGAGGTTTGATGGCAGCCAGCCATTAGCCTCTATCCTGGGTTCACACTGTGTAAGTTGAGGTGGTGGAAATATTCCCTTATATGTTGTCAATCCATCTCTTCCTTGGTCATCCTCGTGGGTTTTGACCTTCCCGATCTCCCTAGGCTACTTCTCACTGTCCATTCTTTGGAGTTGGCCATACCATCTTAGTTGGCTGGATATTACTATGTGCTGAGTTAAAGTTATTATAAAAGTGACTGAGTGAATGTTTACATGTGTGCCCGTGAACAGGCCAAGTCCCGTATCCGTAGTCAGCAGCAGGAGAGGGAGAAGGAACAGACGGACCATGCCATGATGCTGAGGGAACTACAGAAGGTCCTGTCTGATGAACGGGCTTCCAAGGAACAGTTAGAACAGGAGGTAAATACACAGGCCTGTGCCGTCTGTCTCTGGTCACAGGGTGTTTGTACGCTGATGGAAACTGATTGTTGAAAGAACCAAGGACACTAGGTTGTCCTTGAAAGTACAATCTATAATGTCTCATACATTGGTATAAAGATGCAGTAAGTAGCAGGTATATTGTGATAGTCTCCACCAGACTTCTTTTGCGGGGTGAATGAATAGTAGAAATCAGCCTAAAAAGGGTATTAAAGCCCCAATGCACATCCCCTGTTGCATGGGGGCTTTAATTGGCCAGAGAAGTTAGTCGGCCAGAGAAGCTCCATTTCTCAGCGGGGAAATGGAGCTTCTCTGGCCGGCTACCTTTTCTGGCCAATTAATACCCTTTTTAGGCCAATTTCTACGATTTATTCACCCCGCAAAAGAAGTCTGGTGGAGACTATTAAAATGCCAATGATGATACATTATGATAAATTATGTGTCTCTTATTCCAGCTCTTTGAGACAAAGCTGAAATTAGAAGAGAAGAAGGCCACACCTGACCTGTAAGTAAAGTAGTCACAATGTCTGTAAATAGTTATATTTCAGTCCATACCATGGTATGGATGAAATATATTGTGTTCTCTCATGTTTCTTCTCCTTCTCCTCCTTCTCCTGCCAAACAGTCAAAGGGATTCATCTCAGCCATTATTCAGCCAAATGACTTGAAATTTGGCATGGAGGTAGAGTGGGCCAATACCCCCAGGCGTTTTTTTCATTTTTTTGAAACATGCCTTTGAAAAATTTTTATGAAGGTTTTTTGGGGCATTTTTCGACAAAAAATGGATTTTTGGATCCTGAGCCCTGGTATTACAACCAAATGATATGACATTCGGTATAAGGGTACCTTGAACATGTGTCTACAGAATAGCAGTCATGTATTTTGCATACATCACTTCCAAATGACTCATTTGGGGGACTTAAATGGCTATTTTCAGCAAAAAAAGGGCCAAAAGTGCTATACCCGTTCCATGTTCTATGTAAAGAATGGCCGGTTCCATCCATGGAACACGTGTTCCATTGGAGGTTACCTGAGGTCACATTGCACCTAAGTGGTGCGTAATGACCCACACATTCAATTTTATGTGCCTAAGACCTTCAAAATGTATCAAATCTCATCATTGTTAGTTTTTGCATACCTGTAATAAGATTAGTAAAGCTTTCGAGATTCAAAGTACTTGTTGTTGCATCTTTGTTCTCATATAGCTACTATTTAATTCATTTATTTGAGAACCTTTGCCAGTTTTGCACTGGGGTAAGTTTGGAATAGTCCACTTTTGCGTGGGAGGGAGATGGACTGAAATATGCTGTATTTGCTCCCAAGCAAATGTCGGCCTTTCTAGTTGTACATAAATTAGTCTGTTTGTATCAGTTTGGTAGAGTTACTGGTATAATGAGCAGGAGATGAAGGACCATCAATGGAGGGGTCGAGTTAGTGTCAGAGTTAGAATTGAGGTTAGCAAGAATAGTTTGGAACTTGACTTGTTGTGTCATGATCAGTTCTATAGAGTATGAACAGAAGATGCAGGACCTGTCTACAGAGATGGAGAGTTAGAAGTAACAGGACTACTCTTTAACGTTAACTGTTTGTATCAGTTCTATAGAGTATGAACAGAAGATGCAGGACCTGTCTACAGAGATGGAGAGTCTGCAGTGCCGTCTGCAGGCTGCGGAGACTGAGGCAGCCAAGCCTGCACCCCTGCTGCTGCAGCTGCAGGAGGAGATGGCTGAGATGAGGGTAAGGGTGTCTGTCTTCACAATGTTACTCTTAACTAGTGTTCTAGCCAGCCAGAATATTTTTGCATCATCTCAATTTTGATGGGTGTCGATTGCGGAAGCACAATAATCTTTTAAAATCTCGACCCTCTGAAATACTATTTTGTGATAATACCATTTCGAGAGGCAAAATTTGCTTTGCAACTAAGCCTAGTTTAATGATATCTCTTCTTTACACATCAGTTTTTGTCCGTCACAAATGGCAAATGTTTGGTCCATCATGTGTGGCAAAATTCTGTCAAATGACGGAACGATGGATGCTGGGTAGAACGCTTTTGACATTGACATTGTATACAAAAAAAGGTAAACATTCTGATTGTACTTTGGTGCTGTAAAAGCCTCAAGTCCTCTTATATTACAGAATCAATCATAAGTTGTCTAAATCTTTTTCTTTAACCTTCAGCCTGATAAGGTTGCCAGTTGGCTCCAAATCTATATTGGTTATGGAGTTGGGCAGCATGTAGAAGGTTAACCCTGCCCCCCTCCCCTCCCCCAGGTCCATCACAGACTGCAGATCCAGCAGGAACAGACCAGAGCTAACGAGGCAGAGACCAGACTGAAGCAGCTGGAGGCGGAGCGGGAGGCCCGGGTCGCTAACCTGGAGGCCAAGCTGGCCGAGCTGTCCGTCGTGGTTGGGAACTACGACAAGATCAGACAACAGGACCAGGAAGCCATGGAGTGGGTTTCTGTCATGTTATGATCTTGTTTCTAAAGACATGTTTTTTTAATTTGTTCAACTAAGCCTGCAAAGTACATTAGGCCTTAGTTAATGGGTTGTTGATCCACAGTGTCTAGGAAGCGGGGCCCAACCTAATCTCTCTCCAACCAATCTCTCTCCAGCCTTTTACCTCCCCAACCAAAGTCAGGTACTACTAGCCATTTAAACCTGGGTGGAGTGAGGAAAGTCTTGTAAAATGCGTTTCCAGGCACAACATCTAGCCAGAAATGCCAGGAATCTAACCCGTGACCTCTTGATCTTGTGTCTGCTAGTCTTAACCACCTGGCCATTTTTAGGTCTGCCATGTAAATGTAAGGACATGGTATTGGAAAATGGAGCTCATCCTTCTCCTTCCACTGCCTTTTACCTCCCCAACCAAAGTCAGGTAGCCATTTTACACCTGGTTGAGTGAAGAAAGCCTTGTTAAGTGCCTTTCTCAGCACAACATCTAGCCAGGAATCAAACCTGTTACCTCTTGATCTCATGTCTGCTAGCCATTTGACACCACTAGAACTGCCAAGTAGATAGCTTCAAACCTGTGAACCTAATTTTTTGGTGCTACAGAAAACTGAAGGAGAGGATTGCACAGCTGGACATGGAGAACACTGCCCTGGCCAGAGTAGCCAACAACAAAGTCCAGAGTGACGACCCAGACGACTCCAATCTGGATGTCCATGCCTTGAAGGAGAAGATCCTGAAGCTGATTGGTCTGATGAAGATCGCCAACGAGAGATCTGACCAACCACTGCCCCCAGAAGGTGACTCATGGTTAAAACATTATAACTTGACTTGAAATTTGTTGAAATGTTAACATTTTGGTTAAATGCCTTCACACTGTATTAGTAAAACCATTACCGGTATGTGATATAGAAAAAAATGTTGATGAGTTACTGCAGCTTACCAAAAACAATTATTATTGTAGTAACACAAGAAAATAGTTACTGAATCAACTGGATACATTTTGAAAACTGTCAGACATTTCAAGTAGCATCCACTACTTTTCGTTGGTGACTAACAGAATCTATGCTGCCTCCTGGTGGAATAGGCAGGCATCAAATATGAACATGGATTCGGGTCAAATATCACCCCAATGTGTGCGGGACTGGTAGAAACCAATGAATCACCTTTGACAAACAGCATTTTGGGTTGAAATTACTTTACTCTTCCTTTAACTAGTGTCTAGAAAGCACATATATGTTCCAGATTCCTAGACTATTTTTCTGGACATCCGTCATGAATATGACATGAACTAACCCCCATGTTGTTGACTGAGCAGACCTGTACACCTTCATGAACCCTGGAGGAGATGACTCAGACCCAGGGTCTCCTGTGTCCCACGACAAGTGTCAGCAGGAGTACAGGCAGCTCAAGGACGAGTTTGAGAGATATAAGATGAGAGCACAGTCTGTTCTCAAGAACAAAAATGCCAAGGTAAAGCATAAGAACACAAACACAGATATAGTAACCATTGGGTCCCATAGCTTATGGTAATTTGAAATGTACAATTCATGTTTTCTAGTTGAGCTATATGAAAATGAATTATTTCTATCTCATATTATAATTCTGTCTATAACATAATTTTGTCTAGGTATATATTGTAAGGTATATTTTTAAATGTCTGATCAAATATGTCTTATGTCTGATGACACTTTTTCTTTTTCTTCATTTGTTGATCCCTGGAACTCATGTATATCTGATACTAGGCTTGATCTTTAAGTTGTCATTCTGAACTGTAAATTCAACCTCGGTGACCACCACAGATGCTTTGTCTAGAAAGATGGACATGATCCCTTGGTTATCTTGTTCCTTTCTTTGTTTTACAATTACAGGACAGTTCTGTAGGGAAGGAGATTGAGACCCTGCGCAGTCAGCTACAGGAGCTGAGAGAGAAACACATCGCACTCAGGCAGTACTGTGACGAACAGGAACTCAAGGATAAACAGAAGGTACAGTAATGACAACAGTAATGACTTTTAAATTACAGCTCTTGTTTTCTGACCGAGTTAATCTTGTCATAGATCTGTTCATCTATACAAACTTACACGAGTGTCCTATTTACAGTATAACAATGAGGATAACAGAAAAACACTGCAGAATTTGTCATAATTGAAGATGCTCAGGACAAAACATTTTCTATTTTATTGACAGTGGTAAGGTGAGGTTATCAAATCAAAATGTACCGGGTACGTGTATGTCATGTTCTGTGTGGCTTTTGAGAATTGGTGTTATGAATTTTTTTTGCAATTCATCTCCCAACAGGTTGAAGACCTGGAGGCCAGGATAGCTAGAATAAAGAATGAACATAAAAAGGAGCTGGATAAAGCAGAAGAGGAATACAGGGTAAGTTATATGACATTGTGTTTTTCACATACACATTGAAGAAATGCAAGGCTGCTACTTTGATTGCAAATTATATACCTGTAATTACTTCAATCTAAGTACTAGTAGTTGCACTTGTGCTAGCAAAAGCAGTTGTATTTGGAGTTGCACAATATTTTTGTCCCCAACAGTTGAAGAAAGTCCCTTCTCGTCAGAGTTGTTACATTTTTTCCATCCCTCAATGCAGTACTGGTTTGATTGAAAGTTTGAAATTCGTAGTTTGAATTACAAACCAGCCTGGTATGAAGACGTCAATGCCTGGCTTATTTTAATTTCTACCTTTCGCCCTATCACTTCATAATATATTTTCTGAAAAAAATCCGAGAACCAACAAATCAAATTGGTGTGGCCTTAGTATCAGTTGCACCAAAAGTCATAACTTCATTGTTGCATTTTGCTTCAGCAAAGAGCGGCCAAACTGGAGACAGAGATGCACAAGCAGCGGGACAGAACCATCGAGCTGCTGGCTGAGAAGGAGAAGGAGATCCAGACCCTCCAGCTCCGCTCACACAGCCCTGTCACTCCATACATGTTCAGTAACCAGAGGTGATAATTTCTTATCAACAAACAATCCAAAATTCATAAGAAAACATAAAGTAACTTGTAGGAGGTATGCCTAGTATTTTCCAGCAAATCAAATGCAGAGTGATGCTATGTTAAATGTTAAGTTTAAAACTAATCTCCAAGCTCTTTTTGTGGCTGCAAGAAAATTGTAGCAATATAGTATCAAATTGGCAAGACAGACCTAATTTCGCAGTATTGTGAAAAAAAGTACTAATACAAAAAAAGCCCAATAATAAAACGTACAAACATGTCAAAAATGAAGCTGAATCATAAACCTCTGCTTGGAGAGTAGTTTATAAAGAAAGCTCAAGGGTAAATGTACAAAATGTTGCCTTGTATACCAGAAATCCCAAATGTTTGACCAGGAAATGACCGAGTCTGTTCTGTCCATGTAGTGAAGGCAGTGCCCACAGTGCCTCCCCGAGAGACGGGAGGTCTGACGCAGGAGTTGATGATGATGATGACATCAGGTCTGAGCACTCCGACACTGTGTCTGAACTACTGGTCAGACCTCACTTCACTCCGCTCATGGTAGGAGCTTTTTTTTCTTTAATTTGCAGTTTCTTTCAGTCTGTAGTGCCAAAAAAGTTTTTTACAAATTGTAAAATGTTTAAAGACAACTGCTGCTAATGTTGCAAACAACATGGGCTAACGTAATCATTTTAGACTATTTTTCTGATTCAAGATCTACATTTTCAATCCTCTGTTAAGAGCTACTGTATCTTCTTTTTGTACAAGTAAATGTTTGATAAAAATTCTGCACAACTTCAGTCGGCTCATAGCTAGACACTCTATTCAAAGCATAAATTGAGAAAAACTCACCTTCTTCATGTTGATTTCTTCCTCTCTATAAACATGACGACTCCATAAACAGACACACTCACGATTCACAAGAAAGGTACCTGACACAGACTTGGGTGAAAATCAGCAGGTGGCAGTAGTTGTAGTGGTGGTGGGGGTGGTGAACAAAGATTTGGATGTAAACTGCAATAAATGGTCTAAACGTAGACTAGCTAGGCATCATCCAGTAAACATCACTGTTTTCATCTTAGTATGTGACAAATGTTTGGTGTGGTTTGGGATGTGGTTTGAGGTGAACCAAGGACATTATTATATGGGAGAACACTGTGGCTATTATATAAAGCTGTAGCTGTATACTGAAGGCCTGGTCACATTTGTTGTACATAGTATGATTGCAAACAGATGTCACTCTTAAGATCTTTGGATGGCCGTGTGTGTGTCGTACAAAATTCAGCTGTCTTGTTTCTGAAAAGGCTGTCTTAAATCCTTGTAGGCAGTTGGTTCTGTCACGGTGCTTGAAAATTGTACGACATCAAAATCATGTGACAACCTGTAAGACAATTGTGACTGCACACAAAGCATGTTTTCTAATCTGTAGAGCTACAATGTAGCTGTCTAGATAAATGGTGAGACTGATTTGGTATGTTTAATATAATGAGAATTAAAGTGTTCTCCAACTCAAGAAATAAATTGACTCACCGGAATTTTCAACCGAATCGCTCGGTCTTCATCAGCTTTCTGATCTGAGTGCTGAGTTCTGATCTGAATTTTTCTTGACTTGGAGAACAGTTTCAGAGGAACTTTCATGCTGATCTGTTATGTTGTTGTGCTGACAGCCCAGTCCAGGAGAGGGGACCATCGTGCACTATGCGGAACAGCTGGCACGGAATGAGGTGGAGCTGTCTGCTGTCCGCAAACAGAAACACCACCTGGAGGCCAGCATCCACCAGCTGCAGGAAGAGATAGCCACCAAGTATGTTACTCCAAATGTATATATAATTCATTTTCGAGAGTGTTAAGTTTTGTAGCAGAGGTAGAAATTACATTTTCACAGTGTTTGAAATTTGCTGTTGAATCAGTCTTGTAGTAAATACAAAACATATATGATGCCATAAAAATGCAAACATAAAACCAGTCACTCTAAATTCATTCTTGTACACAGGGACTTACTAGTAATTTTGCCTATGTTTCAGGAAAGAGATGTTTTAATAAGTTTAAAATTTTTTTCCATTTGAAACAATTCTGTAGTCAAGTACAAATACTAACTAAAAGTCACATACTTATGGTGCCATGATTTCACAGTAAGAGGTCACAAAAAATGCAAAGTAAACTAATGCAAGCATTCTAAGATGTTCACTAACTAGAAAATCTTTTCGTTCCAAGTCTTGGGTTTATACTTACATTGTATATAATAGTTAATTTTAAAAGTTCTTTGGACAACCAGGAAACTTGATTGAAGGCATTTTGTCAAGTATGTTTTGTTATATGTACTTCTGATCATCAAATTGTGTAAAAAGTGACTTGCTCTTTTCTTGTGTTCAGGGAGGAGAAGTATCAGGACCAGATACAGGCACTTAAGAGAGAGGTGGACAGACTAGAAAGGAACAGGTAATATCTAATGGTGATTGTCAGAACCGTTACTGTGTTTTATATTTGTTCTGTACCTTTTTTTAAAGGAATTGTAATTTACAGAATTACAACAGGTTGGTATTGTATGAAAGCGATTTCCTCAATATAAACTTAATATTGTTTTGGAATTGTGTAGGTCTCGAGAGAGTGCCAACCTTGAATACCTGAAGAACGTTGTTCTACGTTACATGACGACGAGTGACTACGCTGCCAAGGACCAGATGTTCAAGGCTATTGCCACCATCCTGCAGTTCACATCTCAGGAGGTAGGGGGTGTAGATCTGCTACAGGACCAGTTGTAGCCAAGAAACTTTGATCGTAAGATGAGTCTAAGAGCAAAGGCATGCTATGTCTGTTTCTGTATCTGTATAGCTGGTATAAACGCCCTTCAGCATAACACACCAGTAATTTTTTATCACTTTTTTGAGCTGTTATATTGTTATTATTCTTATATTTTTTGAGAAATATGTAAATGGTGAACTAGATAAGTAGATTTTGCTAAAAGGTTGTTTCTCTCTTTCAGAGGACCAAAGTGACGAAATTCAACACCAGTTGGTGGTACGGGTCTCCTCGAAAATAGCTTTAGTGTAGAGGTCATGGGGTAGGTACTAAAGTAAGGTGAGGTACTGTACACACAGCTGATGTAGGGTGCAGGTAGCAGCAGGGAGGGGCTTGGAGATGGGCATACATTGTACTCTCCAAGCAGAGGTTGGTGGGGAAGACTGTGACCTTTCTAACATGTGCCCTGCTTTCTGTCTCCACTGGGGAAATATATTGTGTAGAGTAGCAACAGAAAGCGGGGAATATTATGATAGAAAGGTCACAATCTTCCCCACCAACCTCTGCTTGGAGAGTACATACATCATACAGCGTTTCCCCTGCTTTGGTACACAAGCCTGGTGTTGAAGCTACTGAGATGTGCAATAATTGTGCTAAAAGTGTAACTTGAAAGGTGTAAAATGTGTGATGGTGATGTCTAAAGAGGGCTTGAAATGGTGAGCAGGAGCATTACTGGTATGCTACACTAGATTACACTAGATGTGCCAAATGCACTCTTTCTGTGCGAAATAGTTCTCTTGTGCCATGTTGCCTTTCCCATATGGCAGATCCTCAGAAAGTGAGTAGCCAAATGCCTTTCTCGAACATCAAGTACAAACAGGCTCCTGGTGACCATCTCTAACCTTTTGCAGACTGCCTAGAATGGCAGCAGCCTGTTCACATGTCCGTCACATCAGTTGTGTGAGTGGTGCCGTCATGTGATAGTCACAAAGCAAGACTCAAAGCAAGTGGACAACACAACAAGCCTTGTGCCATCATGATAGTTGTAGCCAGCCCAGATATGCTCTACTTTACTGAACATGTAGCATCTTCCACAAAAACTGGTCTTGGAGAAATTGTGATCTTAACAATCATTTTAAGTATTTATGGTTTTTGTAAGCACCAAGTAATGGCTTCCATTCCTTATACACTACTACTCGAACAGGGGAGTGTGGTCAAATTCAACATGATGTTATGTAATGTTATGATGATTGCTGTACACTGAAATCACCAGTACCCTCCCCTAACCTTTTCAGGTTTACAGTGGCAAGTGCATTCTAGCCAAAAAGGTTCCTAAATAGTACTGTGAGATATTACTAGTAATTGTAGATATTTCTGGTTAATTTATATTTTTGGTGTATGTATATATGTGACATGTTAATCACCAAATTAATTGTATTGTACTGTATACTGTACATTGGGAGTTGTACTTAGTAGTATTTTGGCCCTCTTTGCATAATTATGGGTTTTGGTAGTTAGGAGAAACAGGCTACTACATGCAGAAATATAATTATGAGTACCTAGTGAATAGTTTGTGGCCAAGGTCAAGGAAATATATTTATTGATATGTAGGGATTTCTATGAGATTTGACTGGTGCAAATATAAAGTATATTTTCCATGAAACTGCCATGCTCACTTCATACGGTAAAGGGGTTTGCCATGTTCAGCTATACTAGAATGAATGCATCAATGTTAGTATGATTGGGCGGTACACAGTGTTAGAACAGTATCAACATTTAAGAAGGAATAGAATGTTGCATACCACTTATTAAGTCTTCCAACTTTTGAGACAGGCTGTTAAGGTCGCAAGCATGAAGACAGTGTTGCCACCTATCTGTAGAATGTAGTACTGCAATGTTGAGATTATGTTAGTGGTAACATTACTCTATTATCATCTTTTCCTCTCTTATGCTGGGTGACTCAGTGGAGTCTTTGTTGCTGTTTATATAATTTCTGTCCCAGTCCATCATTTTGCTGACACATTTTCCTTGTATAAACCACCAGTATTATGAGCAAAGTACTGGTACCTTTTCAGTAATGTCATTAACATTGGGGAAGCTGATGTATTAATAAGACTTTGTAGCCAAAAAGTTGTAATGGGAACATGAACATGTACATGTATTTAGGACCAAGACCTGGAACTCTTTCTAATAGCAATTAAAGTTATTTCAATGGTATAATGTATACTATTGAGTAGAAAGGTGTTTTTGGTAATCATAAGTTAACATGGAAAGGTTATGTCAAGTAAAATACAGCTAGTCCTTTTGGTCAAGTGCAATAAAACTGGTAAAGATCAAAAGAAAATTGTGGGAATCATTCATATTATAGGTCTGCCACTAGAATTTGTCTACTTAATTAGTGCCAGAGGTACAATGTATTTCTAGCACCCTAGAAAGCTCTAGCCTGGGTACCATCCGGATTTTCACTCCGCAACGCTCGAAAAATCACATAGCGTTGCTCCTCGAGTGAAAATCCGGATGGTACCCGGGCTAAGAAGGCTCCATATTCAACAAATAAAATACTAGTACATTTCCAAGGTGAAGAAAATGAAGTAAATACAGATACAACACTTCATGCTGTCATAAGGAAATGACACGTTTATTCTTTGAATAGGGCACTGAGATCTCTTGGGGAAAATGGTTGAAACATTGATGTAGTTAAGTAAGAGGAATCAATCACGTTACAAAAATAGTTATCAACATTTCTTAGCACACAACCCATGAAGGAGTTTCAAAAGGCTTAGAACTCCTCAACTTATGCTGCAATTAGGAGTAAATAGAAAACTACTTTCTATATACGTGTGCACAAAAAAGCTGATACGATGAAATGAATGCACATGATACATGTACATAACATATATCCTGTATTTTGACCGACGCTCTTCCATTTTTATCATACAGCATAATACATAGGTTAGTATGAAATGCAAAATACATTTAACTGAATACATTAACTATCTACTTTGCACAGATATGCATACATAAGCCAAACTCAATCTAACAGCAACATACTACTGTCAAGTACACATAAATCTTTTAAACATTTTGCTACAAGTACAAAATTCTAATCTATTCCTCATATAGGCTTTGGGCAAGAATATTACACAAGAATTAAATCAGTTATATGACAAAGAAGTTGTTATCAAACATATGGTGGCTTATTTTTAGCAACATTACCATGATTATGGTATAGCATCAGTTTCAACCTTAAGTTTACTTAATAGCACTCCTTGTATGCAGTGTATCGATTTTGACCAACAACCCAAGTTCCTATCCACAATTCAAGACTGTTACGTAAGAATACAGTACACTTTACCAGTAGTCTCTTCAACTAGGTACTATAAGTATCTGTTTCAGTCAGTTAGTAGAGAAGTAGCAAACTTGCATTATCACTGAATACAAAGGCATAGGAGTTAAGATTTAGGTGAGTTTTTTGTTCAGTTTCTTTTAGACTTGATCCCTCAACATTACTAAAGTCAATTTTGGTGGAAAATATTTCTTATGAATTCAAATGCAATGTTTTTACACTCTAGTATGATATCTTCAGAACAATTTCTCCTGATCCTACTTTGACAAGTAACAACCAGATATTTCTTCACTTCTGGCTTACTCTGCTCCATCATCTTGCTCCAGACACAGTGTCCTCACACAGATTTTGGTCACATTACGCATGATTCTGCAACTTGCATTGTTTGACAGGGCAATAAACCTTACAAAATAGATGCATAATTCTTTTTTCCTTATAAATTGGCACTAAATGGTCCCTAGTCTTAAGTTCATACAAAATAGAGAGGAATATCAATGCAGGAATGACAAAATATTATTAGCTCTACCGTAACACATTACAAGTAACACTGGATAGTGAGATACACGTTGTATCTTGTTACAGCTTTGTGTAACAACATGTATGTAGTAGAAGTTCCAACTACTAGTATATAAGCACCTTTCAGCATTTCAGTCAATGGTCAATTATCAGTCATGGTTCTTCAGGCACTGTAGCTATCCTGGTCCCTTGGCTATCATCACAACATTCTTCAAAACACCAGTGGCAAAAAAATAGATATACTGGAACTCTGACACTTTCCACACATTGGAAAATGTTACTTTTAAGGCACATCTAATCCTAATATGTCACATATCTACGTTGATAGTGACTTAATCATAACAGCCAGTCTTGTTGATTGAGCTACAAATTAACATACATGTAACGCTATACACAAAATGGTCATGAGAAATTTGATGGTAATGCATGACTATCAGTTCCAGCTTCTCTTTCTTTATATAAGTTTGTTTACAACTATGAAGTGAAATTCAGTTTCAGAAATGGCTGATCTAGATGCTAAACACCTTTGTTATCAGTATCACATATTCCTTAATACACATGTAGTAGCTTGGTCATTAGGGAAGTGAAGACATGACAACTCCCACTGTGGCCCCAAACATTACAAAGAGGTTGCAAAATTCAGCCTGAATTTTGGGCTATGCAATGTATGGCAACTATTCCCCTGCACAGGCAACATGTAAGCCATTTCAGCATCTAGCCTTCAAGTAATTACCGTAGCCTCCTGTGCAGACTTCTGGGGGCAGTGTTTATTTCTACGAAAAACTAGAGCGGCGGTTTCTTTTCAGGGGGAGGGACTTGTTCTGGGGAAGAGCTGTATCCAGGAACAAACCCTGCCCCGCTAGAAGTCTGCACAGAAGGCTAATTAGTAATTACTGTCCACAGTTAGCCGAGAAGTTTCTCTAGTGCTCTCCCCTCCATACTGCTACATCCTTTAAGTTTAGAACCCTGTCACACACTGACCCTGGTGACATCAATCATTCTTGTCCTTGCCTTTGCCCCTCCAGAGGGGTATGGACACTGACGGTAGCCGACTGGTCACTGAACTGACCCCAGAACTGACCACTCCGTAGCCTGCCGATGGCACCTGGGCAAATCACAAAGTTTTATTAAGGAATGAAACCAAGCTGATGTTTAGTTATGCATGGGTTTGTGTGTGCATGTGCACTTATAGTTATACATTGTAATGTGTTGCAATTGTTACTACATACTACGTACTTACTATGTACATGAATCCTCACTGCATACAGTTTTAGCTACTGACTAGTACTGAGGCATATTCAGCTTCCATTCATGATTGTAATTCAATTAAAATTCCATCCCTATTTTTATTCAATTATTGGTAGTCAGTAAAGAATGAAGCAGAGCTTACACCATTACATTAATAGGAATGTAAACCTAAGTTTATAGAAGCAAGCATGGCTGGTAAACAATTATATCAACACTGATAGACAAACAAATAAACAACAGGCTGGCAGGGATTCAAAGTTCAAAGTCCAAACCCTCGAACTTCTCTGGTCTTGGAGAAGGGTTTGTTTACCAACCAGTGATATACTCTAATCAAAAAGTAATCACACTCTCTGCTAGTTGTTATGTCTGGTTTACCTTTGTGACGACGCTGTAGCTGGTGCCTGCTACCCACTTGATCCCGCTGAAGCCCATTCCCAGCGCCCCTGTTGCCGTGTTGTACACTCCAGACCCCACTTTGCGCACGATTCCCGGCTGTTCACCTGGCTTTTCTACAGGAACAAACATGTAGTTTTACCATCGTGAGATACATACCCTATTGTTCATTGTATGCATGTTTTGTTGTTTGTTTGGTTGTCAGAATTCATTCAAATCAAAGTCAAATCAACATCTACGTTGTAAAAACAAAGCTAGTGGCAGTAATTGTTACATGTATATACCTACGGCTATATACATATCCAAATCTTCGCTTACTATGCTATAGCTCGAAATACTACCAACATTTAAGAATTTCTGATCACAAGTGATGTCTACCTGCACGTAACCTGTTGCTGTATTGGGTTTATAATTATATACAGATGTGGCTCTACATGGATTTTCATTAGCTGTCAAATAGCATTAGCGGGCAATGGATTCTGAACAGTTTTAGTATGACCATACTAAACTGAGTGGTACAGGTAAAACTTGCAATTGTCTGGTGCAGTTAATTTTCCATGTTACCTGCCCCAGTACCAGAGGAAGTATGCAGAAAAAGGATTTCGAGCCCTAATATGTTTGCTGTTACTGAAGTACCAGTAAGTACAGGTATGATACCATCTTTAGGAGGCTGTCCATCTCCAGCCGGTTCTTTCACATTCTCCACCGTTCTTGTAGCATCGTCTTCTTCTTCAAACATGAACTCCTCCGTCTGGAAACAAAAATGATAATCAACTGACCTTAAACCTTATTCTCACAACTTCATAGAGTCAACGGAGTAACTCTCAGAGTTTATCTACACATATACTTCGGTGTGACAAAATAAATTCATAAGATTTCTTGTAGGAAGGAGTGCCTAAAACCCACAATGATGAGAAAGACTTGAGTTATTTCAATGCATAGTTACTTACATCTTGCACATCTCCTATGGTCTTTCAGTACAGGTTTGCCTAATGCTATAAGTATAAACAACAAGTAGGGACTTCCCCTAAACAGGAAGAATATGGGTAGGTAAGATAAAAAGTACACGTTGCTGTGTTTCCTCCTACAAAAAAATCTTTCAAAGAAAACAAAATTTTGTACAATTTTGCTCAGCTTTATAAGTTTATTGAATTTTTCACAAAAACATTGGGTTTAAAACAATCTAGGTTGGCGAAAAAATGAAGGAAAAATAAGCATGGGCACTTGACACTTGACATGTAAAACATAGCGCAACAGCCTTTTCACACAATGGATGATCATGTCCTTCATAATATATGCAACCTCTATTTCTGAGTTGACCCCTTGCCTTGTTGGTTGGGGGGGGGTAAAACATTCAACAGTTCGTTTTCAGAGGATGATGCAATAACAGGACCAGCTAAAAACTTTTAATTTAAAGTCAAAAGCGTCTTGAAGAAATTCTAAAATGTTCACTGGATGCTGATTTAGGTCAAACCCTGCTGCTTACCTTGACTTTGGTCGGTGAACCCTTCCCCCTCAAGACCAGATGATCCTCTACTCCGCCCTCAGCCCTCATCTTGGCGTCCACAGCGTCACAGAAGCAACAGCTTCTTCTGTGATCTGTTCAGGTGGAGCTACGAGATGTAGAAACCACAAAACGATGCCCACAGCCACAGCCAAAAGTTGAGTGAGACGACCACAACAGGGAGATAGGATTATGGCGCAATCACAACAACAGACCTCCGCGAAGATACACAACAAACTGTACTTCAAATACAAGGTTCTACACACTCAGTCACCCCAGGAAATACTCGGTGGGTCTTCAGTCCTCCTAGATACGAGGAAATCTGAGAAAACTCTGCAACAGATGACCCCAAAATGCTGGTAGAAAACCCGACGTCTAGATCCGCTAGCTGGCCCAGCAAAACTCCAGGGCGCGCGACGTGGCGCAAACAAGCCAGCTGGATTTCATTAGAGCGAACCACGTAAACAGTAGGGGTATCTTGTCCAGTGCTTTTCATAATAATGTCAGATTATACGTCAAAACCAACAACTATCTCTAATAGTAGACTCTGATAGATTATGGTACTGTTAGTTTAACGCTATTCTACTGTACCATGTGTAATTAAAAACATTGTACTACAACAGTGCTTTTACCACCCTCTCCATTATTGTAAATAGACGATCCCAGAGTTTCCCCCTTTGACGCCAGGATCCGGAGCACAGATCGTCTGCAGACTGGGTCAGGGTAACACGGAGGCGCGCGTACTGCATGTAGGGCAGTGCAAGGCAGATCAACAACAACAAAAGAGAACTTTGAGATCAGATTGTCGCGTGTTACAAGTAGATGTGTGGTTTGTGAAGTTTGACATCTTTTGATGTTCAGATTGATATTAAATAGAGATAACGTTGCATTTGTACCATGATGTCATATATAAACGTTACATCAATGGACGTACTACGTAGCCTCAACCAGGCTTCAGAAGCGGTTGGAAGAGTAAAAATCGGCAAAATAGACAAATAACAGTGCTAGGGGAGTGCTCCCGATGTATGTGTGTCATCAGCCAATGTTTGCCCGATCTCTTCCAGCCGCTTCTGGCCATGGTTGAAGTATGTCCAGACGCTACAAGGAGGGGACAGACCCGCGACGACGTCACTTCTTACTCTCCAAGCAGAGGTTTTTCTGTCGCTACTCCCCGCGCACCAGAGTTAGTTATTTAAAGCCCTCCTGCAACCATCAACATGATCGCATATGCTGCGCCCATCTCCGTTTCGGAGCCCTTGGGCCACACAGTTGTGCAATTCACTACAGCAGGGGGCAAGTCGACTGGTAGTGGTGTGTCCCATACTCTTTCTTAAATGCTGAGTGCTAAGCAGAGAAAGAATATGCACCATAAAAGTCTTTGGTATGGCTCAGCCGGCGATCGAACCCACGACTTACATGTAATAATCTTGATGATATTAAATGCCTCAAAGATGTATCGTTAAAATCGGCGAGTAAAATCTTTATTTCATACTTCAGCTGTATGGAGACACTTGTAACGAACGATTATCCACAAGATTATCTACAACTTAAATACACCATTAGGTACACACAGTAGAGAATGAGTGTTGTTGATATCATACAGAGTTCTTTTATGTTTGTAACTTTTTGGCGACGTCTCAGGGAGGAGCCTAATGGTACAGTATTGTGTGCAGTTTGCAAGAATTCTAGGAATGGTACAGGCATTTTTTCCACAGGAATGGAATGTCCACAGGCATTTCTCTGACCCACATCTATGCCCACATTCCTGGAAACCCTTGGGAAGCCCTCTCTGCCCCAGATGGCCCTACTTTCTGTGACCCCGGGCCTCGTTGAACGGTTCACTATACACTCAGGGGAGGAGAGCACTATATCTGTCTAGAATTAACAGGTGCCAAGTCTTCCTCAAAATCATGAAATGATGGCAGTCCCATGCAAACAATAACCCTAACAGCAACCACCGTCGCCATGGCAATGTATGTTTTCATTGCCAGTCTTGTTATGTTTATACAGAGTTCTTTTATGTTTGTAACTTGCAATTAGCCTTCGGGCATGGATTTGCACTGATAAACTTCTCTATTATACTGTGGTATTTATCGTTCCTGTATGGTTTAATTTACGATAACACAGCTTTGACTTCATATAGTCTGCGTCAAAATAGTATGCACATAACAGTCAATCCATAAACGTTAGTATTCCATGGTTAATAGCTGATGGTATAAGGCACCAAGGCAACACTGTACAATAGATGGATACTTAGTACATGTAATTATAAAGAAATTGCTTGCAGAGAATTACAAGGGATCAGTATTTGCTTGCACTTGATCACCTGCTAAGTATTCGCATATGTATGGATCAATTTTGGGGGATACCTTTAGTATGTAAGGCAATGCAAGGTGAAGATTCGAAATCATTAAAATTGACTCAAACTAAAAAAAAAAGTTAAAGCTCGCTCGGCATGTAAGACGTTATATACTAACCAAATAGTTACACCCAGTTCAGTAGTGTGGAGTTAGGGCATTGGTTTACAAAAATGTAGAAAATTCTTCACAATTATTTGTGTTTATTTGTTGCCTCAATCGTCAGAAGGTTAAGTGATCGTTTTGGGTATGGTGGGGGTGACTGGATTTACAATTAATTCATGTAAACATCATTTGGCGGAGGCATAGCATCGTGGAACTCTAGTTAGAGATGCATCCGTCAATTGCAAGCATCACATATAGCTAGATTTCAAAATCATAATACTAGTGATAAGGTACGATTTTTACCGTACGAACAGGTTTGATATGAACCTTATATGATATACACGTATATTGCCCATATAATAGGCCATGGTATCGGGTGTTTTCCGCCGGGCATGACCTGTCCTAAGCCCAGAGCAGCAGCCCCATGACGGCACAGACCGTCAGTAACACCGGGTGGACGGACACACAGCTGGAGGCCGAGTCTCGGAACGGGTTACCTGCAGGGACCGACAGGCACATGTCATCATCAAAAAACCAAAGTCAAAACTTCGCGGTGGCATGGTTTGAAATCTATTCGTGAGGTGACCTGTTCAGCAAATATTGCGACACCACATACAAATACATGTACATTGTACTTCAATATTATTGTTACTGTTACTTTACTACAGTAATCACTTTACTACTTTCAACCGCAAATATAAAGGACATAGAGAGTTATTCACTCAATGCACTCGCAAAGTAAACGTACATCTAAGACCAGTAAGATTAGTAAGAGAGACATCTTCTGTGCAGAACCCTGGTCCCATACATTACGACCCGCCACAAGGGCATGGGACAGCGGCAACAGTACTAGGCTTTGAATAGCTTTGCATACCTCACGTATGTGTATTGTTAATGTATATACTTAATGTATTGGGGCTATACATTATCAACTGCCTTCAAAGACGTCAAGGCTATAATATCAAACGTAGTAGTAGTAATAAAGTTTTTCCAGACAGTAGTGGCTGTTTCTCTTATTGTATTGCACTATCTTTGACTCTTGTAAAATAAATTTAGCCTTAGGGCATGATTTTTTGGCAAATTAAGTTGATGTAATGTGCTACGTTTGAAACTGCCATAAACTTCGCTCATATATGTGTACGTACTACAGAGGCTGCCCATGGAGCAGTTGTCTCCCTGGCTGCATTCTGCACAGCGTTCTCCCATTATGTACGGTTTCCGACCAACGTAGTTGCCTCTGAAGCAGAAAAGAACATAATTAACGTTACAAATCAAAGTTTATGTGTGTGCGTGTTGTGTGTCTGTGGGGGATGGGGCATCAGGCCCAATGTTGAGCTTGATTTGATTATATGGATGACATCCACGCGCGCATGAAGTTTCGTACGTTAATTTCCAAAAAAGTTTTCGACCACACTGTAGATCTTGCAAAGCAGCTGAAAATTGAACAAATGTATGCCAAACATATTGGAAAACGATACTAATGTCGAAGAATGCCTAGCCTGCGTGCCAGACCCATAGCATACTGGACACAAAGTATCTCAGTGAGATACTTTGTGTCCAGTGTTCTATATGGGCACCCAGGCTTTTGTGTCCAGTGTGCTATGCATATATATGGGTCTGGCAGCCAGGCTATAGAATGCGAAGGCAAAGCCATTAGCCACTCATCTGGATACTGCCTTGCCACCGTATGATCTGCTTGGAGATTAATTAATATTAAGCTCACCTGGGTCCGTAGTTACAGACGACCAGTATGGCGTCAGTCAGCCCCATGCTCTCCAGGCTGTCGCACTTGGTGGCGCCACAGCCGAGCTGATAGCTGTCCGCCCACACCACCTGTTTTACAACAACATTTCAACCAAAGAAGACTGAGGTATGTGAACGTTAACCTGTCAGGGCCCGGGAAATCTAAACTTTGCATGTTACCTGTTAATTGTTTTGAGTCGTGCATGAATTCGAAAGTCTTCTCTGAGGAAATGGGGTGGTATATGACATATGCTAACAGCGTACAGAAAAAAGTCAAGACAAAAAACAAACAAAAAAAAACACATCGGAAAAATCCAGAAATCGCTGGAAAATCCTGACAGGTAATGTTATATTATTTGTTAATTGTGTGTTCATCTATTTCCATTTTTCAGTTCACTTTAATATGATTTCGGACAACGTTCCATCAGTGGGCTCGGCCCAGTGAAGGAGTTCCGTCTATGATAAAAGCGAACCCCGTTCACCTGTGTGTAATGCCCGCACGCCTTCCCCTCCTTGCACGTGTCGTTGTAGATGTCGTAGTCGGCGACCTCGTCTGCCCACACGCCTATAGCGTCGAACCAGTTGAGCTTGTCTGCCGTGGTGATGTAGATGTTCTCCCCGACCGTGGTGTAGCCTGGCCCGATGAAGGACAGGTCGGGGTTGTGTCCACCCTTACACTGCTCCGCGAAGTCCTGAGCCTTCTCCGCAAGGCCCGCGTCCCAGGACTGAACGAAGTAAGAGAAAATTGTCAAGAGGCGTTATTGGAACAGAGATCTATATATAGTATACATCAACACACTTACAGAACCAGATATGCTACTCGGAACACCTTCAAACTTTGTACAATGTCTCTGACTAGACAAACCAAAAACAAACAGCACTAAAAAAGCCTTCACATACAGAACTACCGCAGCACGGAACTCTCTACCACATGGGCTGCAAACAGTGGCATCACATGAGAAGTTCAAACAAGACCTACTAAAACACATGAGGGACATGAATAAGTAGAGCACATGCGATGTTACACACTTGTAATGTATACTATGTAATGTAAATGTATATGTAATTGTACGTGATGTATTGTTATGTATGTATTGTTATGTATGTACCCTCTCCTGGAAGAATAGCTGCCACCTTCGGGTGAGCAGCTAAAGAAGAGTTTTAATACCTCAATAAACCTCGTTATCCTCCTTCCGCGGCAGACTTCTCAGGCGGCGGCGTCAATTGTTTTCGGGGAGCGACACGAGTTATGCAAACGAGTTATATTGGAAAACGATACTGATGTCGTCAAATGCCAAAATCAATTCCAAAGAAAAAGAAGACATGTGAAGAAATGAAAATGAAGAGTCCATTATTCGCCATACCTACTCTGTGTGTTTAGTCATTTGTGGTCATGAAGGTAGACTGCAGCTGGTAGACCACGTAGATATCATAAGGAATGCAACTTTTATTTTTGACAAACTTTTTTTCTAACGCTAGCGCTCGCATCAGCATGGGGTTCGTGTTCCCAGAGGACTTCACCCATATAAACAAAATAATCAACAAATTAAGACCTAATTTTTTCTATAAAAACAACTTCCTATACAACGTACTTGTCGGAAAATCTCGACGCAAAGCCGTGCGTACCACAATGCATGGCGTAAGCTGATGGTCATGAGACACCACTTCATCAGTTCCATACACAATGAATTACTAGTAGATGTACTAGTAGACTCCGCCTACTTAGACAATTTTCATGATTAACTAGTTATCGACTCCTGTCATGGGTGTGGCTTTACGAAATCAGCTCTTAAACTACTTAACGTGTTAGAAAACACCCAAACACATCTCCATATCCGGCAACACTGATCCGACTCAGTACTCGCTGTTGAAGGTTTCTGTGCGCACATCGTTACCAGTTTGCGACCGTTTGGTCACTACGTCTGTGTGCGTGAACAAGCTTAGAAACACACTTCAAAGTTAGCCTCTACCAGGCTTCGGGAGGCGGCTGGAAATAGTAGATATCGGCCAAATAGAGAGATAGCATGCCAGGGGAGTTGGTCCGCTAGAGAGAGGTTTTTTTCGGGTGGGGCAAAATGTACTCTCTAGCGGACCAACTTCTCCGGCATGTTATCTCTCTATTTCGGGCCAATTTATACTCTATCCAGTCGCCTCCCGAAGCCTGGTAGAGGCTACCTCAAAGTGACAAACAGAGCTCATATACATCGTAAACGTGTTTCGTTTTCAATTTTGATACTACACCTATAACCAAAGGCGCAGTAAAGAAAAGTTGGCCCTAACAGTACGAGGTGTATTCTAAATCCTAATTTCCGACACACTAACTTACGGCTACTTTTGCTTTACTAGTATACTTCCGTCTTAGTTGAAAGTTAAGATCTAGAATTAGGATAATTTCGTTTTACCATGAATTTCATGTTGCTGGCGGACGGCGAGACACCGGCCCGGACCTGGTTGTGCAGATGGATGACTTCATGAACGTCAATGTCATCAACGTCGCGTCTTGACCTTGAGGATCGCGAACGACCTTGTAACAGAGCAACATCTTGCACCTCCAGATCACAAGGCGCCTTCTCCTTGGAGATGGTGCATGTTGTAGGACTGAAGATGATCAGTGTCGCAAGACAGGCCCAAAGGAGCACAGAAAACATGGTGAAGGCACTTTTGTTGGTGCTGCACCCTTTCTGGTGACAACAAATGTTACACCGAACGTTGCTGCTTTGGGCTTATAAATAGTGCAGAACGCGAGCTAAAATTTCGTTACTTGGAAACGGTTATGTTTGATACAATAGGGCCAAGTGCACTCGAAAACCTCTCATGATATGATCCTGTTTTGAATGAAATGTTGAGAGAGGCTCTTGATACTCCAATTTCCAGGAGGAGGTTGCAATGAACATTTCATGTTAAACTTTGCCCACAAGATCTTCATACATGTGAAGATAATTGATGCCGGTTTGATCACAAAGCTGTAGATATCTTCATTTCTGATTCCTTTCTTTTTGAAGTTAGAAACAGTAAAGGACTGAATGTAAAGGAAAAACTACCAAAGTGATCGATATGGTATTGTTACAAGCAACTTGAATAATAACATCCAGAAATTCTATAACGCCCTAAATGTAATATCTTTGCTAGAAGCGACCCTTTATAAATGAAGATAATTTGAATTCATATTTGAGTTCCTTGACCTAACTAGTTGCAGCATAGATTAAAAAAAAATGTCGTAAACGGAAGCTCCGGGTTGTTGTTTTGTAAACTCACATTGTCAGGTAACAGTGAGGGCAGGGGTTAAGGATGGTTGTCCACATGACATCCGGGAGTGCTGAAAGATGACGCATGAACAGTCTTTTCTGTTCACCGCTTGAAAAACACTCGATTCTCCAGCCACTTTTGAAGTGAATGTTGGAAGATATTCTACTTCCCGTCATGAAAATTAAGTGTTCTATTCTAAATGTTCGTGGGAGGCGGTTGCAACATTAATTTCACTTGTTCCACACTCCTGTTACACTTCAAAGTTTGTCACACCGCTCTTTACACCATCAAAATAACCAAGTGCGATTCTATTCTTAATGTCAAGGAGGCGGCTGAAAAATTCATCTTGCTTCCTCACCACTCTTCTTACACCACGAGGTTTTTCATACCACTTTCGCTAACATCAAAATGTTGTAAGTAGATTTGGCAAGCTAGTTGCGTTAACAACGTATACGTCCTTTACGAAAACAAGAAATCGGAGATTTCAAGACTTCCTGAACCCTCCCCCCCACATGTCGACCTAAGACTTCTGTTGGATCCCCAGACATTCTGCCTGTCAATCTTCCCTGACCCACGTGCTGTCAACCTACTCTGTCCAGATAGACACAAAACCCCAGCTCAGCTAACCAACACAGTGCTTCCGTACAGGGATGTACATGTACTAGTAATTGGCAAATGCCGTTCAGTATCTGATGTACTTCATGCAATGCTTCTTCTTTGGAAAATAAAGGGGAAAAAGATAAAATTGAGAATTGTGGCAGTGTGACAGATGTTTTAATGTTATATTCGCAGGTGTGTCAGAGTGTATGAGAGTAATGGTAAGAAGGAACTTTGATAACAACAGAAACCTTCCCCTACTAAAGTACTAATCTTCACAAAACACATACGTTATGTATATTTTAGATCTAACATGAGTTCCCTATAATGCCTAGTGTCACACTTTACATTGTAAGACTATACCGTTTTTATGTGAGGTGGAAAAGACAAAGTTTAATAAACCAGTCTAAGTATCTAAAAAGACTGCACAGAAACATTAATCTAAATCTATCAAAGTATTTAGATTGTTGTTGTTCGTCCATCATTCTCAACAATAACCATATACATAACATATATAACATTTTTCTTACATTTTTCATATCTGTAGAATATGTATAGTTCTATCATTATTTCTAAAATTTAACTTATTTTTTTTTATAAGCATATAACTTACATGTACTGATAATAACAGTCCAACAAATGCCTAGGAAGAACATGACTGCCCATATGTAATGATAAATCTAATAATAATGCCACAGGTTTAGTTTTATTATCTATTTCATCTTGAAGACATGATCTGTGAAGCCCTTTCCATGTAACATTGACAATATTTCTATTAAAAGGGGTTCAAAATATTACAACACAACACATATGTATATAGCATATGGACTGGAGAACGCAACAATGATTATGCAGTATATATACACATTATATCCTTTTAATATGATATCTGCTCTGATGTACTAAAACAACTCTTTTTGTTATTGCAAAAACAAACTATTGGCAAGACATGGGAAATGATCTTCAACGAGAAGACTTGATTGGGAATAGGTAATAAATACACATGGCTCAAATATGTTCAGTTCACAAAGATAAAACTCTACAACAAATAAAACAAAACAAAACACAAAAACTTCATTTCGTTAAGAAGCTCCAAAAAGTCAATGTCAAACTTTGGTGGCATATTTTAGGCACAATACTACAGTAGCATACAGAACCACACTACTACGGAAGTGACGCCATACAACACTTGAAATAACATTTTTTAACATTGCATGATACATGCTTGTGGCTTTTCGTAACAATGACAAGCTTGCAGATACATGTACATGTACTATCTGAACTGCATTTAGTCTGTGGCTATCTAATTCCCCAATTCACTTCTGGATGAAAAGGGGAAATTAATTTTTTTAAATTTAAATAAACACTGGAAGCCAATGGAGAAGATGATATATACCATAAAAGCAACATCTAGATAAAATATACATTTGTGCATACTGTACATCATATCTGCTGCATAGGTTTTGCTTTACTTGGACTGCAAAGTCTAAAAATACAATTGCAAATGACATCTCTTTTGCAACAACGTTAGAATTTTTTACCATAGACATAGCATTAATCTCTATATGGATATGGTTATATGGCTTTCCCCTGAACCCCCCTTAAGTTTGCCTTGTGATCTGGGAGACACCCGTGGCGTAGCCCTGCCAGTTCGTATTGTTTGGAGATCCTCTTCTGTCACGTCCTCTTCTGTCACGATAATTCTACTCAACGAGAAACAAGCGGCCACGCCGAGGAGGGCCGCACACGTGATGTACGCGGTGACGGAGTGGGTGAGATGCACGATGTACCCCATCAGCGCCGACAGTACAATCTGGGCCAGAAAGTAGCTACTGTCCAGAGCTGCCATGTGCACGCCCACCCCAGATGACCTCAGTGAGTCAGTCAGCGGACTGTCGAAGGCAAAGAAAATCTGCAAGAGAAAACAAGAAATCAGAGATTCCAGACCCCCCTGAAGTATTAAAGAACACAGAATATAATTTTTTTAAAGCAATGTGCATAATTTGGACCCCAATAGTAAATCATATATTGAGACAAAAAAAATCTGTCCAGCCCTGTGAACACACAAACATCGACCACTAACATAACTCTTCTGTGGTATTCATCCCCGGGGGTAAAAATGTATCAGTCCACAAGCTTAAGGTTCATCCAACATATAGAGTCAAACATGCCCAAGAAGGGGAGTGAGGTTAATAAAGTGTTTTTTTTGGACAGGTGGCCTCCTTGGGCAGGTCACTAAAATCTGAGTAAATGCATGTGCCTATATATACCGTATGGAAAAAAAATTGCAACCGGAAAATGGTGGTTGTTATACCCAGGTGCCGGCTTGAACTTAAAGAGGTAACCACTTGGGCATGTATGACCTTTACAATAAGTGTATGAAACTATGAGTGTTTTATCCAATGTTTCAAACAATGTAATGACTCACTTATCAGCATTCATTCTACTTACATATGAAAACAACATCTTTTGACTTCTAACCCCCATTAAATGGACAAAGAAAAAAAAACCATCTGATTAAATGGACTGGAAAGTAATTTCTGAGGGTAACCTAACCCCCAATTGTTTATGTGGGCAAGCAATAGTCATTGTGACATTTTAAAATTAATTTTACATATATTTCAGCTGCAAATCCCATTGTTGATATGAGTATGCTTAATCTACACATAAACTTGTGTGAGAGAATGCTAGTATGTTGTGGTTGTTATAATGAGACTACTAAAGTAGACATGTTGCCCTGGACATTAGAAGGTCACCAGATATAGAAGCTGGGAGTTAGCCAACATGAGTTTCAGGCCTGGGTTACTTCAGGACAATTTATTGTAATGGGGTTTCTACTGTTCAAACATAATCTTATTGGAAACGTGAGAATTGTCCAGTTCCCATCTTGTTACCAGCTTTTGTGAAGCTGTGTGAAAATGGTAATTTGGAATCTAAAATTTGCACCAGGAGTTTAGAAAGCAAATGTAGCTGCATGGAAACTAAGGGGGCTGGTAGAAAGACAAACACGACTGGAGGAAATATGTACTACATGAATTGTTGATGGTGTGTCTTTAGTTATGTGAACATGCAGTCTGTATGTACTTTTGATCAATGAGTGACAGTATTGCTGCAGAAGTTTCATAACAGATTTGTCATTATATATCATTCTACTATAGATACATACAATACTGCTGCAAAATGGCAACCTCCAACTCAATATCAAACAACAATTTGGAGATTTCAGAAATCTGGAAGTTTTAGCACAATGTATTTGGGAATTTTGTGAGTTCCATGAATATGCCTTTGGATCAGACCTCCTGTCATTTTGCCTGTGTCCATGTGCTGTCAACCTACATTCTGTCCTTACCACAGACACACAAACCCACAGCTCAGCCACCCAAAACAATACTTCCGAATGAAGTAATGGCGACCTACTTCTCGTTGTTCGTGATATGTCCCGACCAGCGTGTATGGCAATGAGTTGGCAGCAGCAGAGGCAAACCCAGTCAGTGATGACATCATCACGACCATGAACGGTGTCTTCACGAACATGAGAAGCGTCATGGCTACCGTGAAAAGCACCATGGACAGCTGCAGCGTTCTCCTCTCCCCGATCCGTTTCACCACGGTCTCTAGGAACATGGAGAAGACAGCCGCCATTATACACTGGATGAGGAGACCGAAGCTTCCCATACGCACGCCCTCGTCGTATAACTTCCTCTCGTCCGAGCCGATGAGCGCGTGAGGGCGACCGTGGTAGACCTCCTCCCCAACAAAGTCTGAGAAGAACATGGTGTAACAGAACAGCGCAGCCCACATGAAGAAGTGTGCCACCTGGAGTCTCCTTAACACAAATGGTGCATCTAAAGAGCTAGTTAGCCCTTTTGGTATAAGTCTTGTGAAGGCAACCACTGACTGTAAA